AGTATTGAATCCTAATTAACCATTTTTAACTGTATGAAAAGGGGAGAGTGAAAAATTGCCAGAGATTGAATAGGGGATAACAAGTCCTAGAGTTTCTTATAGTGTTAATTTATTAAAAAGTTTCAAAATTTTCTTTACGTTGATTCAAATTTGGTTTTCATTGAAAGACTAATAAATTGAGTTGGCAAACTCCTCAAGACCTCATGGTATACATTTGACTATCCACACTTTATTTTGAGCAAATTAACACGTTTTTCTAATCATATGTTTAATTAATAGGACACATTAATTGAAAAAAGTATTGAATAGAGAGATCTCAAAGAATGGCATATCTAAAGTATCCCTAAGTATTCTAACAAAAAAAAATCTTTCATTTTTATTCTTTTAAACTTTATATTATTTTTCTCATCAACCTGCTTATTATTTTAATCTATCTTAACAGCACACTTTACATGCATCCAAGGAGAAGGTCCATTAAAAAAAAAAAGAATAAAAGAAGAGAAAACATTGATAAGTACTTAATGACCACACTACGCCGCTGGCAATAGTTCATTATTATCACTTTTATGACCATAACAATAAGCGTTGAAGTCAACATTTAATGACAAAATTTGTAACCCTCATTATTTTAGCGTTATTTTACCACATACTAATTCACTTGTAGACTATAAACAAGGTCTCATAATTAAGATCGGAGGTAGTATAAAAATCATGAGTACTAAAATATGAATATATAATTGATTTATATACTCCTATTTAGTATGATAATGGAATTGATACAGAACCTTGGAGATGAAGCTTTTTTTTAATTAATTAATTAAAAGATGATAAATATATTAATTAATTAATTAATTAATTAATTAATTAATTAGGCGAGTCGCATGAATTTGCAATCACGCAGCCTACTAGACGTGGCGGCGTAGATTAGCACCACACTGCGTATTCAAACTAAATACGAATATCCATTCACTAGACGCTTCTCTAACATAAATATCCTCATCTGCATTAGTCACCACTCATGTCTATCTTCTATTTATGTTATAAATACAGATAGAACTAAATATTTAATTCTTTAATTTTAGATGAAATTTTATTTTGATATTTTAATTTTATGAAGTATTTTTCAATAATCTATCCATAATTAGTACCCTTAAAAATATTGACATTGAAATTTTAATCATGATAAAATATTTTTAAATGCTAATGAACATGTTAATTTTTTTTTTAAATAACAAGGATCGACTTATGCTAAAAATTATTGTTTGACACCAACCGTCTCCAAATTAAAGGATTAAAAATATATATTTTTAAAAATAAAGAGATCCAACTGATATCTTGTATATATAGTTAAAAGATTAAATGTGCACTTTTGTCTATATAACTTCTTAATGTAAAATAAGGGGTGTTTGTAATTCTCAAAAGTGCTTCTTTAGAAACACTTTTTCGTAAAACGAGATAAATTTCTCTACATATTTACTTCGTAAACCATAAAGCACTTTTAAAACTATGGTTTGGTTTCTATCCAATGCCTCTTAAAGCTACGCTTAAATTCATTGCAAATAGCAATAACTTCTGTTTTTAGTAAAAAAAATTTTTTATATAATATCAAGTGGGCCAACCCAACTCAAAATGAGCTATCATTTTGTGCACCTAACCGCAACTTTTTGACCGGTTACTTGCCTGAGGTTGAGTCTAATTCATATTATTAACTCTTATTCAACATTTATTTAGGAAGGAATTAAGCATAAAATGGTTCTAATTTATTCCAGCACAGTTTATACTTAGCTGAGTTTTCTAAGCATCTAATCAGGAATTTAATCACTGGTGATGTGTATGAAGAGTATTTTGTGACCAACACTAAAGCCCATTTATAGAGTTTACGATGCGAGAGGATTAAAAAAAAAAAAGAAACTCACACAGCTTTAATTTAATATCATAAGAAGGAACTTTTTTGCCAAAATTAGAGGAAAAAATATACCAGTTTAATTTTGACTCATTAATATGATGATTTAAGAAATAAATCAAACTGTAACGGCTATTGTCAAAATTTCTTTTGATAAATTCATGTGGTGGTTATTTTTGTCGGCAGAAAAAAGAAAAGAAGAGATAGATTAGTAATCAGAGTTTGAGAAGATGCATGCATGAAACCAGAATTTGAATTGAATAGTAATGAGAGAAAGTGTGATAACTGATAAGGAGAGGATGAGAATAATTGAAAAGATGACTCCTCACACACTCACCCTTGCATGGCCTCTACGTGTATTCCTTTGTTTTCTTCCTTCTTTTTTCTTCCTTTTTTCCATTTCAATCACTCATTTTCTATTCCAATCAGTGTGGACTACTTTTTCTCTATCTATTTATCTGTATAGCTTATACGCTAAGGGAACTTTTTCTACTTAATAATATAGAGTAAATAAAAAAAATAATGTTATGCATATTTTGAACCTTTTTAGTTTTTATACTTATACTTTATTTCGTGTTTTTGATGTATTCTATTCTACTAAAGGCAAAGCTCGCATTTCATCTCCTACCTTTAGTTCCTAATATAAGAACCAATTAAAAATTGAGTTTAGGTTTAAATATAAAATTTTGATTCATTCCGTCACTATATTTTTCATATTTCTCAAACTACTCCTATTACTAGCGGATGTTAAAAGAGTTTGCATTATGAGTGCTATCGATTTAAATGGATATTTTATAGAAATTAAAACATATTTTTGACAAATAATTTATTTAACTAGTTTTCTTAGTTTATCTCAATTAGTTAAGTATATCTTATATTATAATGACTTACAAATCAAATTGGCTTAATTATTTTTGTTCGATCTTGTGGTTCTAGATTTGGTTTGTTTTTTCATTTTCTTAAAGAAAATTGTTTTGTGAAATCATTTGTCTAAAAGTAAAATTTGAATCAATCATTTACAGTAAAAGTGAAAAATGATTTAATTTGTCTCAAATACTCATTCTCCTTCAAAATATAAGTATCAAATAATTAAACCATACAATTCAAAAAATTGGTTAAAGACAATAAATATGTAAAAAAAAATTCCACTTATTTTCCTGAAACTCCCTTATTGATAGAGGTTGAGCGAGAGAAAGAATAAGTGGAAAAGAGAGATGAGATGAGAGGGATATATAATTAATTAAGCATAAAAATAAAAAATGCACTAAATGATGAAACAAATTCAAGTTGTAACTCATAAAAAAACCATTCAAATATTTAGTGCTCATATTTTAAACCAAGCGAGTAAGCTATAGTGTCCAAACCATTTGGATGAAAAAAAAAATCATATTGAAAACAATTATTTTTAATTAAACTCGATAATATTTGAATATAACTTAATAATGTTGGATAAATATATAAGTACAAATATTATTTATAAATGATAAAAAAAATGCTTCGAGTAATATCAATTTTTAATTAATTTCATATTATATATTTACACTGATAAATGGAAAAAAGGTTATATATTTTGTTTTATTATTTAAACGGGCAGCGCCCCCCCTCCCGCGGGCCCCACTAAACGGGTAGCTCTGATCAAGTGGCACACAAAATAACAGGCCCCAAAGTCCTTAACCAACCCATCACTCTCTTGTTTGGTTTCCTTATCCCTCCAAATTGCATCATCCTGCCTAGCAAACTCGAGAATGGCTCCTTCGTTTTTAAAACTTTGACAAAATTATTGAAAAATTTCTCATTAAAATATTTATCATCTTTTCTTGGACTGAAACAAATATTTATCATCTAAATTTATCTTAAATTTGTTTAAAACTCACGTGTAATTTTATTTTAGTGGGTGCAATTTTTTTTCGTTTATTTAATTCTGTGCAACCACATTTGCATATAATTAAAAATATATACAATTAAAAAAGAGTTACATACATTGAAAATAAATTTTACTGCTCAACTAAGATGTCTTTAAATTTTTTTTTTCAAATTGGAACTTTTTAAAAATTTTCCTTTAATTTTTCATATTCACTTAATTTGTTGAAATTTTATAAAATAAGATCTGATGTACGTAAAAAATTCCGGAATTTGAACTCATATCAACATTTTCAGCCGACCTATATCAAAATTGTGATTTTAGATATCTTAGTTTTCTTCAACTCGTTAGCGAGAATAGATGTTATCACTTCTCAAAAGATTAGATGAAAAAAAATAATTCCAGAGGTAATTATACGCTCCCTCAATTTTTAATTTAGTATCTGTATATTCTTTTCTTAATTAAATAATTAACTTTGCTCTTTTATCACCCTTAAACTTTATAAGATATTGTTTGCTACTTGGAGGGGAGGGGAAAAAATTTTAATAAGCTTTATTTACTAAAAAGAAGAAGTAATATAAAAAATAATAAAAATTAATTAAAAGTTTTTAGTCCCATTTTTTCAATTTTTAAATTGAATTTATTAAAATTTTTCCTTCCCTTCTTTCCTTTCATTTTCCTTTATACCAAACGGACCCTAATAGTATTAACCTAGCAAAGCTCAAATGATTATCAGTGCTAACAAAATAAAACTAAAAGAATTAATTAAGAAAGAAAAACATATAGGTACTAAATAAAAAAAATAAAAAAGGGTTTTCCATTAAAAATTATGACATCTATGCTGAAAAAATATTTCATATATTTATAGATGATAATATTTTTGTTGACATTTGTGCTAGTTAATAGTAATGGACACTAATTAATTAAATAATAAATGAGGAATATTTTTATTTCTATGAATTAATTCATTAATTAATAACATAAAACACGCGTCTACATGAGGCACACACGTAAATAACAAGAAAAATCCTTTGGCCCAAAAAAAAATAACAAGAAAAATCCGAGGGGTCATTGACACAATACCTTAAAGTAGATACCCCAGACTGAAAATATCTCGCTGTTAGGTCGTAGGCCCCTCATTTCAAAATTCCTATAAATATATATCTCAAGTTAAGCTGGGTTTGCCAAACCAGATAGCCGAACCCGGCTTTTTCAAAACACCAAACACTTCCCTCCGTCTCTCTCTCTCTCCCCCTCTCCCCCCACTATCTCTGGCAAGTCTCTCTCTCTCTCTCTCTACTGTAACCACAGACGAAAATGGCGGCATCTTCTAGAAAATCGAGCGGACCAGTGCTCCGCTCTCTCTCTCCTTCCGGCAGATTCTACAATCGTCACTCCTCTTCGACTTCGTCTTCTTCTTCCTCAGCTTTCGCATCTTCCACCTCCAGCTTCTTTAGCCGTTCCATCTCACCCACTCGTGTCAATCTCTGTGGTCCATCTTCCTCGGTTCCCTCCGTTCGATTCTCACTCGACCGTTCCACCTCTCCGAACCGCTCCATCTCCGTGACGCCTCGCGCCGGCGCCTCAAGTTCTGGCCAGGCGGTGAAGAGGCAGAGCCAGCAGAAGCGAACCTGTATGTGCTCCCCTACCTCGCATCCTGGTTCCTTCCGATGCAGCCTTCACAAGAATTTCGGCTCTAATTCGGTGGCTCCGTATTCGCCAAACAGGCTCAACGCGCGCAGATCGGCGATGACGAACTCGGTGGTGAGAATTGGCGGCGTGGAAGGGGATTTGGTGAAGAGGGCCTTGGCTGCGTTGATTCGGCCGTCGTCGCATCAGCAGAGAAGGCGAGCGGATTTCCGGCCGAGACCAAGTAGGCTTTCCGTCATGTCCAAGGCTGAAGATTCTTGAGCAGTGGCATCGGTAGCTGCTTATTGATCCTTTCGATTCCTTCAACATTCTCGGAGAGTTTCCGGTCGAGAAAGTTGGCTTCAAATTCTGGCTTTGAGATCTGACATATGCAAGGAAGAGATTCGGCACGGACCTTTTTTGTTTACCGGAAACCGAAATCCGATAGAGAACTGAATATTATATATATATATATATATATATATATATATGCACATTATGTCCATACATATCTAGAACAGGTAGTAGTCAGAGTCAGGGACTGCTGTTAATGGTGATCCTGGGAGCTTTTGGACCGAATTCCATCTAACCAATTGTACATAACTAAGATTTTGTTAAAAAAAATTTAACTTATTCTGACATAAATTTACTTTGATCACTCTTGATTTGATTTCTCTGTGATCTTTCGTTTCCTCGCCACCTTTGGCTTTCATATTCATTGCTGCAAATGCCCAGTAACGCTCTTCCTCATCCGGTTAATTTTCTTTTCAATAATTCGTTTCATATATTTCGCTGATCAATTTGCCGTACGTTGGTGGTGTTTTTGGTTCGGGTAGTTCATTGAATTTGGGGGATTTGGTTGAACACTTAATCACGTCCATATTTCTGTGAATTGATCTGCATAGCCGACTGTTCTTTTTATTTGCTGAGATTAAATAAAATTACTTACTATGATTTTTGATATGTTAATATTATTGATTTTAGATTAGTCGTCTTTGTTTTGCAGGAGATTATAATTTGCTGATAGAGAAGGACAGACACAAGGGTGTGATTTAAAAAAAAAAAAGAAGGTGGGGTCCAGTCTCCTAGGCCTTCCTCCATCAGAGATGCTAACCATGAAGGTGCAGGCTTGTATGGCGGTGGACTGGTCTGAAAAATACAGTTTATTATTGAGCCGGAAGGAACAGACAGAGGCCAAAGATAGAAAATGATGGAACCTACCAAAAGAAAAATGTAAAAAGCTGAAAAGATTAACTAAAACATGTTGATAAATTGTAAAACATAGCAAAATAAAGGCTTTGACATGTAAACAGATAGCAGCGCAGCTAAAATCATGTCCAAGCAACTCTCGCCACCTCTCTTGAAAGAACATATTATTTAGACAATTTTGATTCAAAGTCGAAACTATATTGATTCTTATTTGAAACATCAAACTTCATTTCAAATTTAATAAACCATGTCTCGAGGAGGACGCGTGTGTGTGTTGTAAAAATGTCCCTAGCTTATCCAGTTTTATATGTGTCGGGTAGTGCAGTACAGTTAAAGAGCAACTGTGGAGTCCAAATTGGATTCCTGCAGTGTTACGAGACTTTTGAAGACTCGTAGATGTGTGAGGGGGTCACTGGGGGAAGAAGATAAGCATAGATAAGATGGATGAGCTCATGAAAATGACATATGTGGGTGGGTGTCCTCAGAATCAATCCATATCCAATCGCTCAGAGTTCCAATTCTCTAAAACACTTCATCATTATGAAGTAAACCCACAAGAGAGAAAATATGAATGAAATTACAGATTTCACTTCGCCTTGTGAAATGCTTCCTGATATCCCAAACTAAACTCCACCATGTTCTTTATTTCTTCTCTTATACCAAAACCAGAAACGAGTGAGCACATGAAAAATAGAATTATTACTGACTGTGTCAGGGGCATGACTTTCTGCAAAACCCACCGGGGTTTTTTTACAAGGTAATTTTTTATTATAGAACCTAATTATTAAGTTAATTTTAATCCTAAATATAAGATTTATTTTTCATATTTATTAATTTTTTTTCTAAATTATCCGTAGTAATACTCCATCAATCATAATTAAGTGGGAGAGGGAGGAATGATATTAAGGAGGATGATTATGGTGTTTTAGGAAAAACATATCATATTTTTATAATTAACTAACTTATATAACTTTCTTAATCTAATCACATTAGTTAAATAATTCTTATATTAAGAACTGGAAGAGTATCACATAAGATATTTACTATATTTCTTATGATCCTTATCTCAGAGGAACCCCGCCTAGTAGAAGTTTTGTGCGCTGAGCTGCTATTTCTATTATCCTTATTTAATGTCAGTTTATTTAAACTTGGCTATTTAATTTTTCACAAGATGGGTTTAATAATAGTAAAGTAGAAAATTTTGTTAAGTTCAAGAGTTTTAAATCTTTTGTTAGTTGTGGCAAAAATACTAAAAATGATTTAGAAAATACTACTTCTGATTCTTAATATAAAATCCAATTGACTAATTTGAAAATATTAAAAAAGTTACTAAATTAATTAATTATAACATATGGTATACGATCTCTCTAAGATACTTTTGTGTATTATTAAATTATATGTCAATTTATAAATGAAGTTAATTAATTTGAAAAAAGAATACAAATACTTAAAATAATTTAATTATTTTTTTAATATTCTCAAATTAATCAATCATATTTTACATCAAGAATTGGAGGTGGTATAGTGCAAGTTCTTCCTTTGCCGTTGTGTCTTGGCCTTCTTTAAACCGCTCCCTCATATCTTGTCTGTTCTTCACAGCTTCATATAGCAAGTCCCTATGTTCATTTTTCTAAACGCATGGCCAAATATAGTTACTTTATCAACACATCGATATTTGGATTCGGATAAAAATTAAATTATAATTTAAAGATAATTTTATAGTATATAAAATAAGTATATAAAAAAAAGGGTCTTAATTTATGTAAAAATATTTTTTAAAAGTGTTTTTGTCTTGAACCAAAGAAAAAGAGAGGATCACTTCTTATAGGTAATTAGAACAAACATCATCATCACTCGTGTAATTAAGTTGTTGACAATACAGTTCCGCTGCTCCCTTCTGCCGGTGCCTTAGGTTTCAAGTAATTATATGTAATCCAACATCATCAGCTCAAATCAGGAGATGTTAATTCTTACAACACTCTAGACAAGCAACAAATGATTTTCTGGGATACTGCTATTCTTAATTTCATATGGATTGGGATTTTATTACGGCCATGGCAACTGCTAGATAGATCTCGAGATTTTTCTGTTGAAATTTTTATAAAGATGTTCTGTAAATTTTCGTCTTGAAATTGTACATAATGAAGGTTTGTAATTTTTTGAGTATATACGACTGATCATATCATTCTTACAAATTGCCAAGCTTTGTCCCAAAAGAAAAAGAAAAAGAAAAAGCTATGGCACTATTGATGATGACATGCATGCTTTTCTCCATTTAAGGGACTGCCGTTTCGTGAAGCAAAAAAGCAAAATTTAAATGTTGCTTTGACTGGGAAAATCCCCACTTGAAAGGGCACTCTCATCTTTAACTAAAAGCACTCTCAACATTCTCATGTTTGAATCACATAATTTCAGTTCTCGTGTCATTATTTTTGTACAGTTGATTGCTTTCTTTAAAACATGTCTCTCGGTCATGAGGGGATGTGGGGCCAGGGTCCTAGTGGGATCCACAGAGACCGTCAAAACTATTTTTCAACAGATACAGAATACAAGGTGAGTATGTGATAAGAGTTTCAAAAATTTTAATTATAATCCTAAATAAGCACAAAATGTTTTACTTTCTGCGAAGACCAAAACTCTTCATTTAATTTGAACAAGTGATTAGAGGAAATTGCAGTTTCTTTTACTAGAAATTGAACTCACATACAAAGAGTGTCATGTTTTCTTGTTGGGTTTGATTGGTAAGTTTATAATGAACAGAAAAGTGAGACTTGATGGATATGGATGGCACTTGAGAGTTCAATCTTTGACATGGCCATGTGCAAGTGTCTCAACAATGATTCAATCTTTTTTCTTCTCTTTTGGGAAAATATCTAAGTATATTTTGTTTATTCAACTATTAGATTAATAATGCTAAATTGTATATTGCTTATTTATAAGTCATATATAAATAGTCATTGAATCTCGATTAATTGTTTATTTAATTAGTAGGGTTATGACAATTTTTATTCACATGCCAAAAGTTTGAAGAAAATAAATCTATAAAAGTATAAAAGTTCAACTTATTGCATATTATTTGAAAAAATAATAATTATTGCATATTATATCTCCTTGCTGAATTTTAGAGGAAAAAGATTAGTTGCACGTTTTAAGGTGAGAAATTTTAATTTCATGTATTTTACACATATAATATATATAAAGACACAATTTCTCTTTTTTTTTAATGAATAAAACTTAGGTCAAGTTGATTATAACTATTATATCAAGTTGTTTGTTCTACAAAGTGTGACAGAAAAACTTGAAATTTAAACTAAGTTTTTCCCTCTCTTTTTTTTTCAATATGTGTAATTTTTATAAACAGAAATTCATGCGTTATTTTTCTTGGGGTGGGGGCAGAGATAAGGATAGGAAAGAAATATCCTTGTCCTTAATATAAAAGCAGACTAGTTATTTCATATATATTTAAAAAATTAGTTAAGTTAATTTTTTTATAATAAATGAGCCTTGTTTTATTTAAAATAATCTTATTAATCATGTATATTGAATTTAAATCTTTAACACATATAATTAGCATGAGAATTACTTTAAAAAAGTACACAAATATAAAAAATAAAATGAATCAAAATCTTATATTTATAATTAAATTAAATATTTAATTTATTGTTATATCAAAAACCGTATACAGTGGGACCAAGCATGAGATAGGAGTGGGTACAACGCACATAAGCATCACGTTAACATTATTGTATTTTTTTTTTTGGTTCTCTACCCGTTTCACCAGAACTTTGTCCTGACTATGTTCGGATCCGACCCGTGTCGTGCATTTGGGTATGGTGGGTGAGTCTCCCAGCAGAAGTTTTCCGCATCCATGAGGAATTGAACTCGAGACCTCACTTAAATAGAACTGAGCCGCTTACCACTCGGACCAACCCTATTGGTTAGCATTATTGTATTTTGGTGGTGGGTATGAGTTGGCAGTGATTGTGAAACGAGTCATTCCTTTGTTGGTTAGCGGAAGAGGCTGTGGATTTGGTTTCATTTGGATTTTGTTTTGTTTCTTCATCACACTCATTTCTGACTCACTAATTCCTTTGTTTTTTTCCTCTTTAACTTCTCATGTATTTCATACATGTCGCTGTGTTGTTTCCTCTAATTATTTGCATAAAACTACTTTTTATCAATAGAATATCCTTTTATTATATCCTATCAATTAGAATAATAATTATAAATTTAGAAGACAAAATATATTAAAGAAGATATTAACGTTTTATATTTAGAAGTAAAATAAACTCTTCAGTTAACTCTTTCATTTAGTATTATATTTGGTAGAAGAAAGTTACAATAGGAAAGATGAGATATATCATCAATTCACCAAATTATGCTCATGAGCAATTCTTTCAATAGGCAAAATAGAGGCAAATCTGGCTTTTCATCTTTGATTTTAGCTAA